ATTATGTTATTTTATTTTTAGCCATGCTAGCAGAGTGGTTCTAAGGATGGCAATGTTGGTATGCCAGTCAATCTGTCCACCACTTGGTCCAGACTGAAATATCTTAACAACTATAAGATGGATCACCACGACATTTTGTAAAGACATTCCTGATCCCCAGATGGTGAATCCTAATAACTTTCTCCTCTCAGATTTTATATTGCACCACCATGAGTTTGATAATTATGGTTTTGACTTGAGTTAAAAATTTCAACAAATACTAGATGGGTTACCATGAAAACTAAGAGGATGAACATAGTAAACATTATCCCTGTTAAACATCAGCATATTAGCATTGTCACAGCATTTACCCAAATTTTGAATTTGTTGTTACGTGCATATAATTATAAAATGGAAATGATTTATTTGATTTAAATAAATGTTATATGTATATTAAGAGTTTGTTACTGCACATACGCAGTTAGTAAGATAACCCACAGCGCTAGTAGAATGAAAATGACTGAGTATCAGTTTGGAGTGGAACAAACATAATGTATCCAACATAAAAGAATGGGTTGAATGTTTTCAAATATTCCCTTTTTTACCCTGTAGATGAAATTTGAAAACTTGAATTTGGATGTTAATAAACTGTCAAAACCAGATGATCAGATCGCTGCGCTTCTTTGGAGTGACATTACTGAATAGTCAAAAGTTTCTCCCGACTGGATTGCCGAAGGATTTTGGGATAAAAGTTTGATTTTGCCCCTATATCGCTGTAAGTACAGCCACACAGATTTTTCCGTCTCCTTTATAGTGTTATATATCTTTCTTCTGTATTTTTTTTTTTACACTGCTCTGGACTGCCTGAAAACAGCTTGATTATAGTCCAAGCTTTACTTCTGTAACCTATCTGCATCACTTTGTAGCACGTGCCATACACCTAGTGTGGCACGCCTTCAACAACAGCGGTGGAGAAACACACCAGCTGCAGCACACACAGTGAAGATGTCCACCTGCTGGCTCCCCTCAACCCCACCCTCCCTACCTAACGTTAGGCAGTCAATGGACATAAAGCTGTTATTGTGATGTACCAGCTGAACCGAAGCCCCGCCCTACTCTGCTTCTGATTGGCTAGTAGTGAGATGCTTTATACCGTAGCTAAAACAGAGATTTTAACTCACATGGTGAAAAGACGTGCTGCAGCAATTAAACCATATAAAGTGAACCATGTAAACCTGTTCTGGTACAACCCCTAAATAAAAAAATGAGCATAATAAGACCTATTTAACACTTTCAGAAGATTTTTTTTTGTCTGACAGGATTTGCACCATCAGGTTAAAATTCCCTGTGTTATCCCAGTGTGAGTGCTAACTTCAGTTTCCTGGTATCTGTATTTATTTGGTGCATCAGTGTTGTTGCTTGCAACAAGCTGTGTGACTGGCGAATAAAAGGCAGCAGTGGAAAGACCCCATGATGTGAGGAACCGGGCATTTTTAACAGAGTCCTCATAAGCTACACTAATGAGCAACATCCCCCCGGGAAATGGAATAGCCATTCCTCCAATTTAATGTGTATGACTATGTGTGCGCGTGTATGTGAACTAGCAATGCCAACCTTTGTTTAAACCCTAATAATGAACTTCCTGGGAGGCAGAACCTGGAGGTGGGAGGGAGATGGAGAATGAGAAAAAGAAAAAAGTCTAAAAAGTGAAAGAATGGCGAGAGGGGAGCGAGAGCAGGAACAGGTGAGGAGGAGGATGACAGGAGGTAGAGAAGTGACAGAGGCAGATAACAATTGAGGAGGCGCAGATGGAGAGAAGTGAGAATGGTGTTGGGGGATCGAGGCAGAATTGTGGGGAAGAGAGGGTTATCATGCAAAGTTGGGAAGGAGAGATTCAGTGAGGGAGGAGAAGAGGCAGACATATGGAGAGAGCTGGGGACTGAAGAGAAAAGAGTCTGGTAAAGGGAGGATGAGAAAGAAGGACAGCCACTGAGTCAGTGAGAAGAAATCACAACGGTTCAAACTGCTACCTCCCACTGTCCTTGTACGGAAGCCCATTTCTGCCAGAAAAAAAGACAGATTTAAAAATAATAAAAGTAAAAATATTCATGTCTTTCTCAAATTATGAGATATGAAGTCCCATTTATAAATCAAAACGATTTCTTAAAAGAGCTCTCTACCAATTTACGCAGAGAGTTACTTGTCAGGAATACAACTCAGCATGTGAAAACAGCTGTGTCCTTTCAGGTCATTATGAGGGTTATTTTAGATTGGGCCTGAGACTTCAAATGTTTAACAGAAAGCCTGTGTTACGCTGAAAAGATGTGGGCATTACCCAGGCAGGGAGGGTCCAGCGAAATACCCTAACCCTTTAAAACCTGTCTCTTGTGAATCCTTCAACTTAATGAAAGTGCAGTAGTGAGTACTAGCTAGTAAACCAAGATTAGGACTTAATATGTCATAATTTAGTTTTTTTAAAATTCAAAACGTCTTAAATGATTCTTTGTCTTTCAAAATTTGACTTTACCATGTTATCTTTTTCAAAACTTCTTTTCAGGCAGAAATGCATACTTTTGAGATCACCAATGTGCAACATTAGCCAGGCTAAATGTTTTTGTTTTGTTGTAACAATATTGTTCAACACCAGCTGTTCATTATTACCAACAGATGGTGAACTAAGGCATTTTTACTAAGATAAATACAGCATCTTTTGTAGTCACATGCCTAAGATGTGACTGACATTTGATTCCACAACTCAGTAGCACTAAATACTACTCAGAAACGAGAAGTCAATTTAAACTTTTAGAGTGACACTGAAGCCCGTATCGGCTGAATGTCATAGCTGACTGAGTGAACATGTGATAAAAGGGGGGGAAGACAGGATGTCAGATAGACACAGGTGCAGGGAACCAAAGACAGGGAGAGAGGATGATTGAAACTAAGTGTAGAATCTATTTCTAAAGCCATCAGGGGGGATGGATGGACAGACAACTCAAAGAGAAGACTGGTAAACAACAAGGGAATAGACAGAGCATCAACCTGGGCTTCTGCAACCTGAGGAGAAGTGAAGCTGGGCAAATGGATTTGACAGTGACAATGGCAACTGTACTTTTACAAAGGGGATTATAAATCTATTTTTATCTGACTAATCTGATCTGACTAAGCCTAATGTGTATGCATGTTGGAGTGTTGTGATTGAAAAATACATTTCACAAAGAATGGAGAACAATGGTGCACAAAACAGACATTTGATAATGAAGAGAAGTTTACACTGATTGGAGCTGAGCTAAGTCACTGCATTAAGAAACATCTTTTGTTGTGGCTAATAAAAGTAAGCAGTATAAAACAGTAAAGAATAACATTTATTTGTATGTAATGTGAACAGAGAAAGAAAAAAAGTGCAAATTGCAGGCACCACATTGAGTAAAAGCATTTGTAGAAAATGTCCTCAAGCCAATCTGCATGTTGCATGTCACAGCGGACATTTAGACCGGGATGTTAGACAATATCTAGGTGATGAAGTCACACCAATGCAGAAAGCATTGCTGGTAAACCCACATCCAAGCACAGCTTTGCTCTAATCCAGTTCTTTTTTGTAGGCAGGACACCAAACCCTCAAACAGCTGTACCCAGCACTGTTTTGTGAAAAGTCTGGTTCTACCTGCTGGATAGGTCTGAATCTCTGATTCTGTCCTTAGCACTGGGGCAAAATGTCGGGGAGATAGTAAGATCTGTAGAAGGGTTTTTTTACTTAGCAGTCAGGGGGCTGGGCATGTCAGGTTATGAACAAACAAAGTTGCCATTAAGTCTGATTATCAGGTTAGGTAACAGTGGGGTTTCTGGGAAAGTTGGTCATCATTTTGAGAAACACTTGTACTGACTCATACCGTGTCTCACTGACATCGGATAGCTCGACACTTGTAGAAATCTGCTGCCATCGATCATCCCCGTCAAGTAATGTATTAATGCATGCATAGATAGTCGGAGAGCTGTCTTGGTAAAATAAAAGCAACCAATCATCTCCACCACAATATTCTCATTTGTTCATAGTAAGTAACTGATTTCACAGACGCACGCTTCACCAAGAACCAGTGATATGACCTTGTATTTAAAGTTCCATTTTTGGCAATTTGGCGTTATCATCCACCTCTGAAATAGTGAATATATTGCATTTTGATTGATTAAGTAATAAGTTATCTTGTGTATGACAGTGTAAAATCCCAGACTTGTGCTAAATCAATCACAGGTTGTAGCATACAACATGGTGAGTTGGTAAATCTTTAAATGGTGAGATGTAATACAGTTACTGAAACACTAAAGGTGCCGTAATATCATGAGCTGACGAGTCATGAAATTATCAATTATGCTGCTATACAGGCAGACAGACAGACGGACAGACATGTATCCAGTCTCAGACATAAATGACAAGCAAGTAATCCACCCGCCAGTCATCCAGCCAGTCAGCCATGCATGAGGGCTCAGTGCTGTTGTGTATTTGTGTAGAGCACAGTGACTATTGGCGAGCTGTCAGTTGCTGTGACACACATCCTGACGTGCAGCAGCCCTTTAAGGCCTCCCCTAGAGTCTGTCAAGTAGAAGGGGAAAGAAAGTGTGTGTGTGTGTGTGTGTGTGTGTGTGTTGGTCCATGTGCATTTGCCTGAGTCTGCAGGTGGTAGAAAGGCGTGGGTGCAGATCAATAATAATCAGCTGCAGTAGTTCACCCAACAGTGACTCACCTCAAACACACACAAATACATGCGCAGCAGCACTCAAAAACCAATCCATACCCCTCGTGACACTGCGTTGTAGCCCGAACTACAGTGACAGCCCTAAACTAAAGGCAATACAAACACACACACGCACACACACAAAAAAACCTCAAACAAAAGCGCTTACTCACGCTCAAAAAGTACAGACTCAAAAATGCATGCGTCTAATTTAATTGATTTTTCCATACACCTCAGCGGCCTCATCTTTCTCTCCCCACCCCCACCCAGCCCCCCTGTTCTCTCTGTCTTTACCTCTTTGAAGTGGTCTTGATGATGTCGGAGACTTTCTGTATGTAATCGGTGGCGAGCACCACAATCTCTTCGTCTTCTGAGAAGTTGTCGTGGAAGATTCTGTCCAGCAAGCGTTTCCAGTGAAGCTGTGGTGAGAGGAGGAATGATAGGGATTTACTTTTTAAACCGTCATAAATTCCCCCCTTTTTTAAATATTGTATTGACTTATAAGTTGATTCCCAACCTAACTTAAGAATCATAAAGCAAATCTTTTTTAAACAATATTTTTTTGACATGGAACAGATGCACAAAAAATGATGAAAAATGTAGATCTGGATTAGTTTTTTCCTTGCCAGGATTACCTTTTTATTGTAAAATGCAGGATAGTTTTGCCTGTGTGTGACATACTCTTTGATACCATGAAGGGTCCCATTCTATGGACAGCGCTTAATAGGCCTGGCTTAGAAGGTTTAATTAGGGCTAATGTTAATGTATTCATTATCATTTCTATGTGATATTTAGCTTATCTCTAGTATAATATTAATTCCAGTTACAGCAGTTCCATTTTATGTGTTGTATTCCCTCATTAAATCCATGTGCAAGAAAAATGCTCTACAAGGTGCTTAGTCTCTAATTTGCTAACGATAACTAACAACTTGTCAATATTCATAACCATTCATGCATAACATTGAAGTCAACATTTTGAAAGTTTGCAGTAGCACGTGAAACTTTTTTTAATGTCCCGCCCCATCTGCTTAGCATGCTGGCAATAACGGGAACAGGTGAGCGTCACATAGTGCCCTTTGGGTAATGCACTTTATTTAGGGCCATATGAACTGCCCAGAGAATCTGATGTGAGAAGTGCCGGTGCATGGTCCCAGTACACCAAAGAGTAAAATGTAGAAGTTCTGGTTCTGCATAACGGTGAGTATAGGCCCACATAAATGTACTGCCTACATACTATAAAAGAAAAAAACATTCAATTACTGAAAATCTGCAGAAATCCAGTTAACCTGTACCCCCAAGGTTCTGTAGCAGAACTGACCTGCCACAATAAGGCCTTTCTCTAAGTCAGTTCTAGACTTGACCCATTCAGGTAAGACCTGTGACCCGATGTTTAATCAATCTGGCTTGCTACGGACAGTATCTTATAGGGGCACACAACAGCTCTGGGATTAAATGATGAATAAGATGTAAACACACTGATATGTGCAGAATAAAGCAATGATAGCTGAATGAAAGCAATAAAGCGTGATCCACATTGTCAATAGGTAACTTTAGTTAACACTTAAACCTCTAATTGTGTGGTTACATGTTTATTAGGTCTTGAAGACATACATGTGGCAGAAGAGGAGCAGGAGCAATGATGCTATACAAAGCACAAAGTTTGTACATAGGTTTTGGGGAGGGTGGTATCCATGCAGATTCTTTAAGCTGCCTGCTCACTGTCATTTGCACAATCTTGCAAGTTAACTTTACAGTATGGATATGTAGAAAATAATTGGCTTAATTTTGAGACCCCACATATGAATTTGATTTTGGTTGTCAGAGGGTCCTAAGCAGTGCTTAATTTCTGCCAGAGCTAGCTGGAGAGCCGCTTCGGCTAGCTCTGAGTTTTAAGCCTTTTGCACTCTGGCACTTCGCCGTTTAAAACACCATGCGTTTTAAATAGCCTAACTAATTATTTGATCATAAATTATTAATGCACTGGGGACCTGTCCAGGGTGTACCCCGCTTTTCACCCGATGTCAGCTGGGATTGGCTCCAGCCCCCTGAGACCCTGTTCTCAGGATAAGTGAATGACGATGGATGGATGGATGAAATTATTAATGCACCTAATAATTTAAAAATTAAGCACTGGTCCTAATGCGTCATTCAGACCAACCACGAATTTTCTCCTCGCCACGCTTTCCTCGCGTGAGTACATTCGCTGCAAGTGCAACGCGAGAAGGCGATTTTAACGCGATAACGTGAATAAACACAACTCCCCATTACTACAACTGTATGGACCCAAAGTAAACATTTTGCTGTGATTAAATAGCAATAAACGGATTAAACTGATGCCGAAAAACTGCAACATGATGCAGATTTGTTAAACATATGAATTCATGCTTTGTCAGGCAGGACAACAACTTCTAAAATGTTTGTTTTCTGAATGGAGTTCGGATCGATCAGGGCTATGCTAACTTGGTCACAGTAAAGTACAATGATGGCTGGAATAAAGTTACATACACATTTTTCCAGAACTCACCAGGTAGTTCAACCTCCTTGCTTTCTTTTCTCCAAGTAATGTCTAGTTTTGTCAGGTTTTTATATACGTTGAAATAGTAAAAAGCTAATTTAATAAAAGCAGTTTACTCCGAGCTCCTCCCGCGAGTAAACAGCGTAGTTGTCAGAGCATAATCCGACCAACTACGGGTGTTTATTTGTCCAAAGGTTGCAGCGCTGCTCCCTGCTCCTCTCCCCCAAGTTTAGCAGCTCTCAGCAGATTTTCGATCCCCTGCTCTGCCCGGCCCTCTCATACATTGCTCTGAAGCCGTCGGTGATGTACGGAGAATCTCCACACTGATAGGTTATCGCGACTCAGCGTCATGCGACTTTCGGCGCTTCACGACGCCCGACAGGAAATCGCGGCTCTATGCGTCCTTGCATTGACTGATAAACTCACCGCCCCGAACGCTCACTTCGCTTTTGGTCTGAAAGCACCATTAGTCTTAATTCAGGGATCTGAGAGCCCCAAGATTTCACACACTAGTTTCATCACTGCTTACTTACATTACTTAGAAATTAGGCTACTTACTTTAAAGGGTTGGGGCCAACTGCCTTAGATCATCAGCAGTGATTTCAATTTAATCATTTTTCTTTTTGTATTTACTTTGCTTCTTGGAAGAAATGTTTTTTGGTGGTTACACCCCTTTGATTCCCATGTTTTTCTTCTCATGTTCACGCGGTCTGTTTTTCACTTGTGCAAATTTTTTGGCTGAAAAGCTAAAAATCTAACTCTTTAACCTCCTCTCGGAACAAGACCAGTTTCTATCTCTCCTTCTTTCCTTCATTCCTCATCCCCCCTCCAATGAAACATCATGAAGATTCTTTGTCAGTGTTCCTGCTGCTTCAGATGAGAGCCTCCTCCTTCTTCTCTCCCTCCCTTCCTGTGTCTCCAGTGGCTTTTCCTCTCCTCTCCCCTCCCTCCATCTTTTCCAACACCCCCCAGTGTCTCCTCATTTTCTCCTTTTCTTCCTACCTACCTCTTTCGTCCCTCAATCTCTCCGTCTACCCCTGCAGGCCGGACAGCTTTTGTGAGTCACTTAGGCCTCTATGTGTGTGTGTGAGTGTGCTTGGGGGTATTGAAGCGCTACACCACACACACACACCCTCCTCCTGTGCACTCGCCACACTACTTAAAATGCTCAGTTGGAGTTCAAATCTTAATCCATCACGTCTGCTTCTACCCAAAATGCATGCACACACACACCTACTTGTAAATGATGGGTATTTGTATGTGCTGTGTGTGTGTGTGTGTGTGTGTGTGTGTGTGTGTGTGTGTGTGTGTGTGTGTGTGTGTGTGTGTGCGTGCGTGTGTGCAGTACTCACACTGGGAGCGATGCGCTGTAGCTGCCTGAGGGTGATGCGGTTATACATGGTGCTGATGTCCTTTCTTTGGTCATCATATTCTGACACAGTGATCTGGAAAGAGAGGAGATTTTACTCACACTGCACACAAGTGCATGCATGCATGCACACGAACACACACATGCACGTGCAATCAGCTCACATTGGCCAGACGGGTCTCCAGCTGTATAATCTCCTTGGACTTCTGCGTGGCGTTGTGGGCTCCCAGCATGCTCAGTAAGCGCTCCATCAGGGCCTTGTATGCCGCCAGGATCTGAGAAGCACAATGTCATCAGCACTAATAGACAGGAGGAGCTGCGACATCATCTGTAATGGCTGGTGACATGGGTGACATGTGGCAAAGTGGACAGGATAACAAAAGCACAGCGGGGCGACAGTGGAAAACAGGTGGATTGATGAAGAAGAGAGAGAGAGATGAGTCAATAGGACAGATGGAAGAGGGGAGGGGTGAAGGAGAGAAAAGAAGGATTAAGGTAAGGATGGAGGAAAGGAGGGCAGTAGGAGGGGAGGTTAGGAAGGAGAGAAGGAGCCTAATTGAAGTCAAGTATGAGATAAAGGAAGGAAAAGATGAAGGTGGAGGGAAAAGCAGAGGAAGAGCATGGATGGAGGTAAACAGGAAATACAGAGAGAAAATTGTTGTGAAACGAGGTGATGGACGGAGGGAGGGACAGGGAATTGAAAAATAGGTGGCCTAAAAGGGAAAAAAAAAGCGTTGATGCAAGGGAGGAAGAAAAGGGGATGATAGCAGAGAGGGGGAGATGATCGGGCAGCGTTAAAGAGGGAGTTAAGGAAGCGTGTTTACCTTCACACTGTCCTCATCCTGTCCCAGGTACAGGCTTCTCTCAGGCAGTGTAAGCCCCTCCTGATCAATCTGCACATACATACACAGTCAAAGGTCATGCAATAATTACACGTTTTCTGGCGTACACATACGTGACTGTGTTGCTAAGACCTCAACAGATGCATATTCAAGGCAGTAGTTATTTTAATAATGTGTAATAATGCTAACATTTACAAGCCATTCAGCACACTGTATGTAAAACATTTGAATTATTTATAACATTGAATAAGTAAAGCCCACTCGTAGAGTCATTCTGTGTGTCGGGCTGATATTCAATCTATTAAATCTCAGATACTGGCAAACTAATGTTATTCAACTTTAATACTGTCGCTGTCCAGTGCAAACCATGCATCTCCAAATTTGGTGATTCACATTTTCAAATAAAGAAAATTCTTCTACTTTTTAATTTGATTATCTGAAAATGCATCGTCACAAAGTTGTAAATAGGACTGTTTTTCCTGGTTCATAAAAAGCTGACATCTTGGATATACATAGTTTTCAAAAGCCAGCAACAATATTGGATGTTTTCCCTGGTAAGAGTTAACTTATTTAGGTGTCATCACATGACCTAATACAATTTCGGCCATGTTAAAATTGGTTGTTGTAGATTGGGGTGGGGGACAACTGAGCAAGATCCATTTGTTGAAGGTTTGGGAGATGCACTCGAATGCTCAGGGGTGAAAAAAGCTAGCAAGAGAATATTTTACCACACATGGTCACAAGTTCCTCCATACTCATGTTCACTCACTCTAATTTAAGGAGCTGATAATGCACCAAGAAAGAACGTCATGGTGCGTCCTGTTACTGTGCTGTCTCTGAGGATTTTCCAACAGACAAGATAACATTTCTAGAATAACACACACACACACACACACACATGCTTTCTACAAATGTACACTCAGTTCTGTAACAACATTTTTCTCACCCTGATTGCATTCCTGGAGGAGTTTTTATCGTCCACATTGACGGTGAGGGAGAAGAAGACCGCAGTGCTGTACACACCCTGGGTCCTGTACAGCAGCTCATTGAAGTCCGGCCTCTGTGGGGCGCCCTCTCTCTCCCACCCAGCAGCACCGGGAGGAGCCCCCACCAGGTCCCACCCCCCACAGCTGTCTATCACCTCAGTCATGGGGTCAGAGCCCAGCTTGTCGATCTCCTGGATATTGACGCAGGATCGATAGAACTCCTTGACCTTGCGCTCTGCTGAGCCGGGCCCACGCCTCCGGATCGGCTCCAGCAGGAGACTCTGTAGCTTCTCCTCATTATGCTCTCCTATGGCGGTGATGATGCCGTAGCTGAGCTTGTCCTCAGGGATGCCGTGGCGCCTCAGCCAGCCACCACAGGCGAAGGAGTAGAAGTCCTGGCACGGCTGGATGGTTGGGTCAATATTGGCCTGAACGAAGCGTGCCGCCCGCAGCAGGGAGCGTTTGCGTTGGCAGTCCTGCCGGCACTGTGGATCCTGCTGGGCGTCCAGGGAAATGTACTTCAGTGCAAGCATGCTGCCCAAGATGACGCACATGCCTGCTGCAAACACCAGTGCAGAGAGGAGGCAGATCTCCCTCCGGCTCCATCGAGGAAGCCCTCCGCTGCTGCTGGTGCTGCTTAGATCTCTGTTTCGACCATTTGACAAGGTCCCGCCCCGGCCACGTCCCATATGACGGTCCAGGCTGCCCCCCAGGTGAAGGGTCATGCCGTTGCTGAGGATGTCACTGCTGTAGCGACCACCATATTTCACTTCCTGGAACTCATCATAGTGGGCAGTTAGTGAGTATGTCTTCTCCATGGCAATGGACTGTCACAAGGTAAGAAGAAGAAGGGCGTAGAGAAATGTTGAAAAGAAGTTATTTCTATGTTTAGAGTAGAGTCATTACTACTTCTACTGAGACAAAAGGGAGGACTCCCACTACAGAGCAGTAGGGATGTCAAAAGCCCTCTTTAGGCAAAGTCCACTTTATTCTTTTCAAATCAGAAGCCGGCAGAGCGAGGGGCTCTCATTGAGAACGAGGAATCTCATGGGTCCTGCTCTCTCTCACTCTCATCCTCTTTCTCTCTGCTCCCTTTCCATTTGTTCTCCTCTCCTCTCCTCCCTCTCTCCAACCAGTTACAGGTCACCTGTCGATAAAAATAAAAATGAGATAGGGGAGGGCTGTAAGTCGAGAGAGATAGGAAATTGAATCCTCGATTACAATAGCAGAGAATGACAAAAACAGCGCAAAATGGCACATTTCCCCACTTTGTCTCGTTCTGTTGTTCGTCGGCTCAAGCTGTTCGATTGATTGGTGATAGTCATCCCTCAGCGATGTCCCTGGGTGACTCACTCGCTTTGGATGGATCAATGGAGGAGTAGAGAGCTGAGCATCAGCTGGGCATGGAAAGGTGTGGCAATAACCATAACTTAGAATGTGTCAGTCCAAATTGATGTAGAACTTTATATTATTACAGAAGGACATGGAGAATTTATGTCACGCGTCTCACCAAACTGAATAAACACACCTACAGCACAAAGGGCATCAGCTGATGCTACAGAGATTTCAAAGGAATAACAAGCTATCACATTACAAGCAGCTGCAAAAATAGTGTGCTCATTTATACTGGTGATAACTCAAACTTAACACAAAGACCTATGAAACACTGGCTTCACAGCTCCTACATGCATTAATTTCATGCAGCAAAAACACCCAGACGAACACAGACACACAAAATATTTCTTTAGCTGTTTGCATTCTCCTTTGCTTCTGCTGATGAATTCTACATGTAGCCTGTAGGCAATATCACACGCCTTTAGACAGACTGACTGTTTTTTGGATGCTTCCCCAATATGTGTGCGTGTGTGTGCAGTGGCTAGTCGCAGTGAACTTGCTGAGAGCTGTGAAGGCGATCTGTGAAAATTGATCCCTGTTATCTCCTCTGGGAATAGCAAACTTCAGCACTGATGTCTTTAACAAGCTTTCCCTCGCCTTATGGGAGTGCTTTATGTAGATAAGAAGGAAAGAAGAATTAAACAAATAAGAAGTTTAGTGTTTACAGGTAAAATGAAAGATGAGTAGCTGGTCAGATGGTGACAAAGCATGAGGGAATGGCAGATGGGTGGTGAGTGGGTTGAACTGTTGTTTCACTATGATATGTTTTAGAGGGAAAATGGAAGACTGAATATGGGGAAATGGGGCCATGAGTGATTCTTGTCTACCACTGCAAAGATCTTAGCGGAGATAGCGTGGATGTATGGGGGCGGCCGACCCAGGACCCAAATGCATTGTCATTTGCTTGTAGACACGACCATACAAGAGAATTGCGTTCATCAGCCAGTTTTTTCAAACAAATAGGAGACTTATGAGCTAATTTTAACAAAACTCCCTTAACCGCCATGCATCATTGGACGGACAGGCAGCTGTGCACCGCAGTTTAGTTCCGTCCTCAACTTCCACTGGAAGCCTAGTGTTTCAGCAGCGGAGCGTGTAGCCTGCCCATGTTAATGACTTGTTTTTAATATGTCCTTTTTGTACTCCTGTGACCCGCTTTCGTTCTGATCATAGACTGTATATAAGATCTGCAGAGTCCACAGGGAGCTTTTCAGAATAAGAGCGTTTTGCCTGCCTGATTCTGCTGACATGTTTAAATGTTGTTGATTTAGTGATAAGTGCTTGCTTTTCTTCTACTTAGATTAAGTAGGCTACGTAGTTAAATAGTTTGTCTTTTCTGTCTCTTTAAACTGTGTTTATTGTTGATATACGATCAGCGGTCTACACAGGATATTTTATTTTGAAAATGGCTCCGTATTCTCTCCAGAGAAGAGCGGAGGGACACTTCCGGGGTGAGTTCAATCTCAAAACATTTTGCTACGTTTTGTAGCCGCTGAACTTGACCTTGGTGTGAGCACAAGCATTGACTAGAGCGGCTGTGATGAGCTTCGGCAGCCGCGACGAAGACAGCCTCAGTGGACTTTCTAACTTGGTATAAATGACTTTGTAGCAGGTGGGCCCCATGATGAAGCTCCGCCCCCACTGTGCTGAGAGTCTAGCTCCAACCTCGGTTACTCCTTATAAGCAAGGGCGTCACTTTGTGTTGAAAAGTGGTGGGGACATAGGGGCTCAGATTAGATGTGTGAAGAGACACTTAGCTCACAAGACATCATGATACGCAAACTCATTCGTTTCATCTCGTTCATGAGAACGAGACGTAAAGATCCTTAAACAGTATTCAGGTAGCACATTACATTTCAAAATATATAAATATAATAGAAGATAAGTCAGTGCAGCTCTCAGGCATTCTATGTTGCTTTGAGATCTGTTTCTCCTGTAGATCAACTTTTCTCATGTTATATCATCCCTGAGGCAGCACATATGTAGGCCTGATTTAGTCTTCCCTCCTCTTTTGTCATGTTCAAAGTGAGAGAACGGAAATTTGTCAAGAAGTTGTTAAAGTTCACATATTTGCTTCAATTTATAATCAGCAGCTTGTTTTTTTTAGCTTAAGTTCCTTTTTTGGACAATGCACATTTGTTTCTTCTATATCTTAATTGCATTTCATGTTTTCTTAATGTGCAAATAAACTTTCCTAAATACATTTTCACTTGTTATTTAACTGCAAGCTACATTTCAGAATGTTTTTTTTTTTTTAACAAATTATGCTTTAAAAATCGATGGGGACAAAATCAGCCATTTCAAAAAGTGGAGGGGACATGTCCCCAGCGTCCCCAGTGTAAATGACACCTATGCTTATTACAGCCCTGGGAATCATTTTGGGTATGATTTACATTCAGTGAACCCTTCAAAAGTGAACCCTTCACATAGCATTTAAATTTCTATGGAGCCATGACATAGATTTCATCATCTGGTCATGTCTGCAAGGGGCCGCACTGCCCAAAATGTATGATAGCACTGATGTAGAGAATACTGTTGCTGTGCATGCAGGGTGCAAAATTAAGTTTGTCCACCAGCCAATGGCTAGTGAATATTCAAAGTGTACCAGCCACTCAATAGATTACCATTGTTTTTTGGCTGGTGAGTGAAATAAATCTAGCAGCCATTTGCATATTTTACCAGCATTTGGCTGGTGGCTGGTGCTAGTTTTGGACCCTGTGTTCATGTCTGCATCCGTTGTACATTATAAGCTTTAAGGACCATACCACTGTTTTTTTTTAGCCCATTTACTTCAAATTGCATACTTAAAACTACAGCTAGCCATTTTACAAACCACACTGCAGTGTTTTACAATGTATTTTCTCTACCACTCCTGACACCCATTGGCTTTTTCAACCACTATTAAAATCCACTATTAGTGGACTCTTGAAGTCTTGAAGGTGTTTGTGATTGATTGACAGCAGCTGACAGGCTGAGCCAAGGCAGAGGAATGAGAGACAAACTTACGCTGTAGCCTACATGTCATGGGCAGACGGTGTGTTATAAATGACCCAAGTTACATTTGCAGAGAAGTGTACATGCTGTTTAATGTGCTGCATTTGAGCGGCTAACTAGATATTTAGCCTGCAATCTGACATTAGCAGAGGACTTTTCCCCAGTGAATGTTTGTTTGGTCGCTCATTTAACAAGCTAAGGTGCAAGACAAGACCAGTGTTATGTTATGTCCATGTTGAGTCAGGTAAGAAGGAGAGGAACAGGAAAGCTAATGTGGGTTGTTGTTCAAAATCTGTGGCTCATGGCTACATGTGTTGTGTAGCAGGCTGCTGTCTGGCTGTTAGTGGGAGTGTCTGCCTGTATGATGCAGTGCTGACGTTATTGCTTTATACAAATATAGGTAAAAATGAAGAGAGTTTTTTGGTTGCATGGATATAAATTCTTGATCTCTGTAGACAGATATATATAAATATAAAGGGAGCCATCATGAAAAAACATAAAATATACATTTATCCCTTTTACTTTCTGAGAGCCTGTTAGTTGATTTCCATACTTTATGAAAATTAATGGAAGCCAGAGGCTGACTGGCGCCGTGTAGTGCATCTGACTAATGAGCAAAATTGCTACCCATAACGCCAATATTTAACCTATATGTGTTTTAATTACATAACCATCATGTAGTGTCCTGGAAGTTGTAAAAACATGGCATTCAATGTTCACATAAATTACATTGTCATTGTATTTAATTCTCGGTTTTACAGAATCATCCAATCATCAACGTTCTGTCTGTTGATAGAGTTGCCTTGTCACGGCTCTACAGACCCCTATTTTTTGGTCTGGGTGCCGGGTGAACAGTGGACGGGGGAACGGGAGGGGACAGATTGAACCGTACTGGTGAAGCTCGTCGCTGGCAGGTGAAAAGAAGCAGCTGGAGACAACATGTAGCACATGTCTGCCTACACTCTCCCCATGCCAACAGCAGCAGTGATGACGAGTCCAGTGCAGAGGGGACTGAAGGGGCATCCCAAAGTGGGAGAAAATAGGGGTGGGTGGGTCTCTGTGAGGTGTCATCATCAATACAACTTATCATCCATCAATCCTCTGCCTTGTTACACACACACAATTCTAAACATGCTGTATCTATCTTGCACTTCATGCATGAGCACATACTCAGTGCTCCCGTAAGTGATCATAAATATTATTGAATTGCTGCTCAAAACTCATGCATTCGCTCTTCACAACTTTTCTCCCTCTCTTTCAAATGCACGTGCACTTTCTCATGTCACAACTCCCTAACCATTATAATATATTATGATTCAGGGATGTACACACACACACACACACACACACACACCCACTCTGAGTGGACATCCAGCTTATGGCTAATGGATTGGATCTTGTGGGTACCATCACAGGGAAAGGCATGTGTGATGAATGGCTATTTACTGAACATGACAAGGCTTAATATCTGAGAGCTCTACTAATACTGCTGCAAACACACACACACACACACACACACACACACACACACACACACGGTACATGCATGGACACTTAAAATGCATCAAAAACACACCACTGATGATTCATAGCGCCTTGTCTGTTGTCAAGCGTTTCCCATACATCTTTCCAGCAACAGACAATCACTTATTCAATTATAGCAGGGGTTCTCAAAGTGTGGTCCTGGGACCTTCAGGAGTCCTGGAGCAGACTGCACACTTTGAGGACTGGATGGACCTTTTTCTTGCTTCTCTAACCACTACTTGTAAATCCTCAGAGAAGATCAATGGTAATAAATAAGTGGGGGTCTCTGACGGGGCAGGTTCACATCGTGGGTATGAAGATTCTGCAGATGGATTACAGTTCTCCTAGCATAAATGTGGGAGATGGTTCAATACACTGTATTTGTGGTGTGAGATTGATGATGTTATGTTTCAAGTGAAAGTGAATGTTTTACTGGTGTAGATTTGCCCCCCCCCAAAAAAAAAATCCAATTACTTGAAAGTTCCTGAAATGAGCAAATGAAATGCTCATTGCAAAGGAAAGCTATGTGTGTCAACATGAGCTGTACTGAATTATTGCCACAGACTTTCAGTGGTTGAGGAGTTAACATGTGTTGCATGTGACACGTAAAGTCACCTGGGGTCAATATTGTCTTTAAAAATGTTGCCAACAATTGCTAGAGGACACATTAAATATACTACAAAAGACAGCTGTTAATAACAACTCTGTTTACTGGCAAATCAATAGTAACAAAAAACTGTTTAACCTTTGGGTCTGTAACCAAAGACATAACCTGCTAACTCTCACCAAGCATCTCCTGCAGTTTAACTACACAGCAAGCATAAGCATACGCCTTTAGCACCTGATCTGTTAGGCGTCCTCCTCAAAATGTATCACAACTATGTATATTACACTCAGCCTAACCTAACTCTTAACCATTACCATAAATACACTGAGAGCATACTTTTTTTCTCCACTGCAGTTTTTGATGATATTTTGTGGTAGCCAGAAATAAGGGCTTAACGTGAAACTCTCTGCTTTTATCTCCTCTCAGGCAAGTTACGTCACCTGAAAGCCCTCTATAAATGGGTTTATTATCCCCTAATCAAAGTGGTCACAGAGCCTGCCCCAAAAGCTTCACGGCACTCAGAGGGTTCAGCGTGGGAGTCAGCCCCCTCGAGTCTTATCACTGGTCGCCAGAGGCTGCAGTAGAGTGCTACGGTGCGTTTGTATGGGCTACAGATTTGGACACACAGCTCAAGGGTCCTCAGTAGTACCAGGAGATACTTCTTAGGCTTGTACCAGAGCAGAACCCCCTTTGTGGCGCTATTGAAAACTATTTAAGTGTGCGTGTATGTATAACACATTGGCAATATTAAAAGATCTTGGGAAAATGGGGCTCTTTATTTTAATTACATTATTAAAACAAAAGAGTTTGAGTCATTCAACATTTAGACTTGAAGAAGTCTCCCTTCCTCACTTCCTCTTCTCTCTATTATACTCACATGCACACACGCTAACAGATGTGACTAATAGAAGTGCTCTCATACTCTATTATCATTAATGACTTTCCAAACCCCTTTTCTGGATAGAGCAGTATGCCAAACTACAATTCAAAAATTTGTAATGTTGTATATATTGAACTGTATTTATACTGTATATATTGAATATCTTGGTCCTCCTGATATTAGAGTCTCTACCCAGCCTATAGCCTAAGTACTTTACCTGGTTTCCTGTTGGGCTAGTTCTGTGGAGGGAGACTTGGCAAAGAAATTCTAAACGTTTTTTTAATTTATTATTCAAATCAAAGCTGCTTGTATAGGTTGTGGGATATGCCTAATGAAACATTTTTGTATACATAAGGTCTTGAGTGATGTTCTATGAGGTGTATCAGTTTCCCAGTAAGTGAATAAGTGTTCAGTTGCACTGGGTTTGAACGGGATTCTGTATTAGTGGGAAAAGTCGCCTCACCAGCGGCGACAAGTTAAAACTAATGAGGTGCCAAGGACAACACAGCTAAAGAGCGTACAATGATTTCAAACTTTTGGATGCAAGAACTCGTGGTGCGTTAAGACGCGGACCAGACTGCTGGTGGCGCGCAGAAAAGAAAAGGAAATCCGAATTGTGAGCACAAGTGGCGGTTAGTGGTACTTTTACGCACACTTAAGCTCATTATAGTCAGTTTTTGCTTAGGATGAATTCACAGGGCGGTAGATACGTTTAATGTGGTGAATCATCAACAAGGACGCAAACAAGCTACATGAAAACGGCAACAACTAGGAGAAACGAAATAGACCTATCTAATGATAAAACACACAAACGCATAAGTTACAGATAGCCTACTCCAATTTCTGACACATTATCCTTCTGTAAAAAGTGCAACCAGTCTGTCAACTGCAGTCATTTCCAGCCCGAGCTGCTCAGCATCCACACATGGTAAAAAACAAAACCATATCTACATTTTTGTCTGTTTGTTTTGACAACTTGCCGACCGAAGCATCTCATAACTTACCATCAAAACTTATAGACCCGTTCATGGACACCGTGAAGAAAATAACTGAGGGACCATGTGCGTAATACATAAGTAGATACCTCTCATCTACGTGTCGGCTGCTAAGACGTGACTTCCAAGTTAATCTGTGGCAGTTTTCCTTCATCCTCGCTCTCCATAATAAAAAATAACCTTTAGAGAGCCCTTGGTCTGCCGTACCATACCCTTACAGTATAGCCTACACAAGCTGGTGGGAGACCCACTACCCACACCTAGCCCCAGAGCGATGAAAACTTGTGTAAGAAGACCTTACCTGTAGTGAGTAAATCAAAATCCCCTGTGCGCAATGTAAAAGTGCCTTCGCTCCGAGTGTGTAGATAGAGGAGATCCACTCCACTGAAGGTCCGACTGGATTATCCGGTCCCCCTCCGGAGATCGGCAAACACCGGGGTCCGCACCGCTTTCTGCCGCCGCTGCAGCTCACAGCCTCCGATGTATGGGGGAGAGCGAGAAGGCGGGGCGGGGGGGGGGGTCCTTCATTAACAAGGTAAGGCACAGACACGCACACCCACCCACAGTCACACAAGTTGATTTTTATTTTTCTCTCATTGTTTTTTGTTGTTTTTTTTTAAAATAGGTAGCATTTGTGTGATTATCAAGCCAAATGTGCATTTTATATTATATTTTTGGAGCAAATACTTTTAAAGGTATTAGTTCTATTCTGTTTTTGGCTTGAAATTCAGACTTTTGATGCTCAATTCTGCATCAAAACATCCCTTCATAAACAAAATCTGGCCTATTAGCAACTCTTGCACGTTCACACATATTCCATCCACAGTAAAATAAAATCCCACTGTATCCCATTGTAAAAAGGAACAGATGAATAGCCAGTAACACTTGTATTAGGTGTTAGTCTTCTGTTAATGTATCAGAGAAGCAGATTTGAATGTAGGCTGTACAAGCCCACCAGCTCAGAGAGAGAGCATCAACTCATTCTCAGATGAATGAGTCTATTTCACAGATTAATACAACATGGCTGCAACATTTTACGCTACTACCAAATCACAAAGTCTATTTTAATAAATCTTCAAACAACCACTAAACATTAACTATGGGAACATTCATCTCCATGTTGCCTGAAAATAAACTAATCAAACCAAAAGGCTGACTAATATGCAAATGAGCTGATTAACTAACTGGCCATTTCATTACTCAGATTGTTTAGTGAGAGGAAAGAGCATATGAGGGGAAGATTGTTTATTGACTCTGGAGAATGTAACCACAAATATATGTATATATATGTATCCTGGGTTCAAATTCAACCTGTGGCCCTTTGATTTACAGATTACAGTTTCCCACCTTTGAAGGCAGTCACTGTTTTCAGTATATTCTCTACCATGCACATTTATAATCCAAGTGAAGTTAGTTGTTTGAACTTTCACACATCACCGATTGCTTCATGACTTCATGACTGCCCATCTTTTCATTTACCTCGACTGCAAATGACTGTGTACTGGGTGTTTCATTCTTTCCTCTTATGGATCCGATTTCCTCAGCTAATTTGCCTTTGGCCTTGGGGGCATTTTATCCCACTCTCCCCAGCAGTTCCTGGGCTCATTTTGCTAACAGGTAACAACAGTGAAGGAAACGAGGCAAACCAGGCACACTGGCCTATAATCCGGCTCAGTGAAGCAGTGGATTTGGGTTCAGCTGTCAGCCCGCACAGAAGCAGGACACTTAGCAAAATTATGCCACAACACACGCGGCCTACAGACCCAGAATTATAACGAGCGCCCCAGCAGAGCAGAGAGGAGGTGGAGAGCCTCATGCAGCCGGGGGACGTTTATGATGAGCAGATGAGCTGGGATCAATGTCGGGGTTTGACGAAGAGAAGGGGAGGGAGTGTATGGATGAGTGGCGTTCCGGTCCCTCAGCACTTTGATTCATCCTCATTTTTATTTGGGTGTTATTTACACACCTGCTGCCACGGGGACAGGCACGGAAAAGCGTTCGCTCTATCTCTGTCTGGCTCCCATGCACACACACACATATGCAAACAACAACACTGCAAGCAAACACACACATCTGCGCTAACCTCCCCACACACTTCCTCTTGACAATAATCGAAGAGTCTATATGAGCTGCAGACTACAAGTCTATTTTTGAGCATCTAAAATTATCCTTTTTGTCCTGGTTCACTTGATTCATCAAGGTCCCCGATGAAGCAGACGTCTCACAAAGGAAGTTAAGTCAGAGACAGAGAGGATAATACTTCAATTATATACAGTGGAAAGTGTGCTGATTTCACAAGAACATTATTATGCTGCCGGCATGACCAGTGATATATACTCCACCTTCCTTGGGGATGGGTGTGATAGAATTACAGAGGTTCTGTGGCCTGCAGGTAGCTCTCAGGTGTAGCCAAACTGAAGATGGATGGAGTTGGCTTGCCTAAAAGGTGCAACAACTTAGATAAGAGGAGAAGGGAGGAGGACGAGGGGATGTTTTTTTCTCATGTCTGCTCAGCACCTGAGCCTGACCCCACCCCACGTGGCCACCCCCCTCCATCTTCCACTCAGACAGACTAATGGGGAACTGGGAGCCCCATTTATATTCCTTGCCCACCCACCGGCACCCTACCTCAGCTGTCTGAGATGCCGGTTCTACCCCCCGGAGAGGTTAAATAGGTGTGTGCTTGTGTGTATGTTCTTGTACTTTTGTTCTTATGGGAAACAAGTTTTGTGTGAGGTCTTAGTTTAGGGTAAACACTTTAATATGTAACATTTTTTAATAACAATGCATCATTATAACATTAATTTAATTTAATTACCATATATTACACTGGTAGCGTCTGTCTCATGCCAGTGGTATTGGCACTGGTGTTGATACATTTATATGAATATTTATTCTGCATGGTTTATGTTGGTCTGTTCTGGTCTGTTTTTGTTGGTCTGCTCGTTCACCTGGTCTGTTGGTTCGTCCAACACTTTGGTCCAATGTATGCTATACAGTCCAAGTGTACATGAAATGCGATCTTAAGATCCATGGCCCCTAGAGGATGATTTCTAAAGACTTTCGAGACAGTATAACCTGTCATCTAGGGCCACCAAGAACACAGAACACAGAATTTTGAATCCAGATGCAGACACTTAAGACGGAGGTTTAAACTGACAGGTGAGGATGAGGTTGACAATCCAAAAAACAAAGCACGATAACATTAACAGATGAGTAATCTATTAATCCAACACAACAGTATAAATCCAAAAGACAAAAAACAAGTTGTATAATCCAGAAACACTAGACGAATGACAAAACACTGGTAGGGAGAGCCATGAACATGAGTAGAGACGATGGTGAACACAGTAGTGAAACAATGAACTGCCCACTAGACGCTAGTGAGACAGAAACTCAAATACCTGAGGGAACGGAGGTAATGAGACAAGGGTGAAACACATTAGGGCAGGTGCAAACAATCAACCTATAAACACAAGGAAAGGAAGTTAAGCAAGACAATGACACTAGGGGCAGACTAACCACAACCACTTCGGTAAAGCAGGTGGCAGTATGTAGAACATTAGCTCCAACAGTGATGGGAAGTCAACAGCAACCGCCAATAAAACAAGAAGAAGAAGAAGAGCAGCGGTTCAGGATGGATGGTGAGAATTTCCCTCGCAAATTGCCCTGAAAACAGAGACGTGCAAACAGGAAAAACTATTTCTTCTGCATGAATAGTTACTGACAAGTTAGTATTTAGTATTAATAAATTAGAGTCCAAGACTGTACTTCTTGCCCAGGAATTTAATGAATAAAAACAACCTAGGGGTTGCCTAATTTAGCCTTCTTATTTCCCTTATTTTCACATCCCAATGTTGACAGGCATGCCCAGAACTGAGACACCACCATCAGAAATTACTCTCTACCAATCCTTTGGTCCATGGCAAGGTATCTTACGGAAAACATAATTTTCATGATGACTGCTGTCAATCTTTCCCCAGGGGATGAATGTTTACAGTATTTCTCGATTGCTTAAACACATTTCTTGAAATGATGCCTCTTTTTCTCGAAACTCTAAACACAAATCCACAACTTCTCACCCAATACTCCAAACATCCCAAAATGAAGCTCTCCACTCAAAACCATTCAATCTCGCTGAAAAACCAAACTTTGCCCTCAGACATGAAACACAAGCCCTCAAAAACACACACACTACAACAGTCTTACACACCGGTGAGAGAAACTCAAAACAATACCACAAAAACTGGTTATTAGTAATGTTGCTTGTGGTTCTCCCCCTTCAGAAACAGTTTCACATGATGAACACAAAAAAAAAAACAACCAAACAACTAATTATTCTGCCCCAGCATCCTGTCTTTGATCTGGGACAGGCCAGAGATTCTTGTTCTCCACCTCCTTCACCACCTCCTCCTCCTCCCTACTCCTGCTCCGCCTCCTCATCTTCCACCTATCCCATCTCCTCCCCATCTCCTCCTGTTCCTCTTCATTCACCTCTTCCTCCTACTCCTTCTTCTCTAAGGTGTCCTCTACCTCTTCTTTCAGATTTCTCTGGAGCCATTGTTCCAAAATTGACTGAACTGACTCTGGTCGTTTTATCTATCTATTGAAGCTTCTGATTGGTGTGTTGACTCTTTGTGTTTCCACCTGGGTAGCTGTGAGCTCAACCTGTTCTGATTGAGTGAACAATATCGAATGTGTTTTCTCAATGGTCAAATGGTGTTAGCAACGAGAAACGAAGGGATTTCTGTGTAGAGTTTAGGGAAATGGGTGTGCTTTTTCAATAGCCTGCTTATAGTGTTTAAGCAATGGAGAAAAACTGTAACACTTGGACTTTTCCTCTGGTACCACTATGAGACAAGAAATCTATGGGGCCAGACTGCCATGAAATCTATGCTCCACAGAAGATTAACCCTTAATGTTTTGGATACTCCGTGAGCTTTCTGCCACCTCTGCAAGACCAAAATGTCAATTTTTCACACAACATATCACTTAATCTAATAAGCATATTACAATAGCTCTGCTGAGTGCATCCATGCACCCAAGGGGTTTTAGAGTTTTTCTCCATTGCTTAAACACTATAAGCAGGCTTTTGAACTACAATTTAAAAACTATAACTCCAAGCTAAGCACACCATTTCCCTAAACTCTACACACAAATCCCTTCATTTCTCATTGTCTTCACCATGTGGTCACTGAGAAAACACTAACATTCAATATTGTTCACTCGATCAGCACAGGGTGAGCTAAATTAGCCCACAGCTACCCAGGTGTAAACACAAGGAGTCAAAATTGATAACACACCAATCAGAAGCTTCAATAGAAAGATAAAAGGACCAGAGTCAGTTCATTAAGTTTTGGAATAACGGATCCAGAGAAATCTAAAGGAAGACATGTAGGACACCGGTGAGGAGGAAGAGGAAGAAGAGGAGGAGAAGGAAACGCAGTAT